CGAAGTCTTGCTTTTATAGAAGGGATGGTCCCTAGTACTGCTGGTCGGCTGTACTTATGGCCTTGACGAAATAACCTTGAGGAAAATGGACGACAACCCCGGAATTAGGGCAATGAAGTGAGGAATTGAGAAAATGATCGAAGTTTCACCAATCACAGTCTTAGCTACATTAAACTTTTAAACATTTTGGAAAATAAATATTCTGCCTCATCCGAAAGGATGGAAACAAGGTTTGATAAATGTACTTTAATATATTTTTGACGTAATTACAGGAAACTTTGATGCATCTGATGGTGAGTGCTTGAGCATCTTATTAAAACCTTGCCGCGCAACCAAAACAAGTGAGCAGCATTTTTAAATCAAAATTCTTTATCTCTTAACATTCTCATAAAATTTAACCAAACATTGCAGCAAATGCGACAAAATGAAAAACACTTAAAATAAAAGGTGCTCCTAGCAACGGTGTAATGAGCAGATTGATATAGAATGCTTGTATCGCTTGTATAGCGTTTTGCAACGTCATTATAAATAAAATTTAAAAAAAATTAAAAAAATTAAATACAACTTTTTTTGCAAAAAAAAATAGTCATAGAGTTTAATTTTTTTTTGCCTAAGCTAGAATATCATTATCATAACAATATCATCTTTGTTCGTTCGTTTAAGTGTCAATCATATTAAGATGAAAGCTATTTGAAGTGTATTTTGGTGGCCTTGTTTGTAAGAAAAGTTCCACGTGTAGTAGTGCTTGACATATTTCGTTTTTTTTTAACTTTTTATGATACAACGTGACATTATTTTGTATTTATTCATCTTACCGATAGTTTTGCGTTTATTTCGTTTTCGTGTTGAACGATAAGCAATATTCAATCATATTGAAGAGTATTCATTATTATTATATATTTTGATAAAGAACTAAAATTAGGTTTTAATAATGGCAGGTATAATGAAAATATTCCCAAAGATGTGACATTATTCCAACTTTTAATTTTTTTCTGATATTATAGGTTCATCCCTTATTAAGCAAAAACTAATCTACGCAAAAGAATACAATTTAAACTAACTTTAAAATGGTATGAACTTCAGTTATCTGGATTATAAGATTATTTTTCAAAAAAACTGATTTATCATTCCAGAATGCGATTACGTTCCCTGGCGGACATTTCAGACATTTAAAAATCCCAAATTTTTACAATTGCTTTTCAAAATAGCGACAGGTGGCCTTTTTAATTGACCGTCTGGAACGTATCGACAATTTGCAATCAATAATATATCCTGTAAACTACCTAGCTGCTTGTTAATAGTTAATAGTGTTAAATAAATATTATAAATACCAAACCTAATAAAATTATTAATTGTCAATCATCAGTGAATTTTTATTGACAAACATCTAAAAAATTATAAGGCAGCTGTATTTTGGAGTACATCTGAATGATATAAATACAATTAATTTTCTTTTAAATACAGCCATATATGTAATACATAATACATCCATATTATGATAATACATGGGTGCCACAAAAGCATAGAAGACCAACCGGACAATCTAATACTTTAGGAACATTCAAAGCTTTGGGTGTTATATTTGAGGTACCTATTGGAAATTCAACACGAAATAGCAAAGAACTTACTTAACCTAAGGTTATTTATTATATATTATTTGCATAAGATTCTTTTCTAGTTTTTGTATCTACATTTACTCTGTATGTTTACGAGGTTGAAATCTAAGAGTAAAATTTATTTACTAGGGACAAAATCTAAATTATCAATGTTTCTTCTTTTCTTTTTCCTGTATTTTTTCTTTTTTTTTTTGATTCTACAAAGGTTATTAAAAAATGCAAAGCTAGAGTTTTAAGTTGTCGAAGTAGTTTATAGTTTAGCTAATAGTATCCGTGGGAAGTATTCAGTATGTATGATCTTTCTTCCACTTGGGGGGTCACTCTTGTCGAATGAAAACTGTATTTGTTATCTTCATGGGATGTATTGAACTTGTTTTATAACATTGTATTTGTATTTTATGACAACGAATGCTATATAATAATACTAATGAGTTATTAGTCCGCTTTAGATTGATTTTCAGATACGCTCAAGGAATTTCATAAATAAATAAAAATGCGGCCATTTTTTGTGCATATTAATAATGAAGATAAAAATAGCATGAGGCCTAGGCCGCATAAGATACGTCCGACTTCCCCATGACCCGTTTACGAACTGTCAATGGTATGAGCGGTGCAAAATCCTATTTTTGACTTATGTTAGAACAAATTTTGGACTGACGAATTGGTGTAAGAATTGTCAATGGATTGGAGAATTATATCTGCAACCGCACAAGCTCTCGGTCATGTTTATATATATTATTTTGTATGTTGTATCCCGAACTGTCCTTAAATCTTGCCCAAAACCGAAAAGTTGAAACTGAAAACTATTCTGGAACGGTTCACAAGTAAAAAGAATAACTTATTTAATTATTATGACGGCATCGTTCTCCTCATTTTGGACACATTGTGTAGGAATATATTTGTGTGTGTAGGAATATATGTATATGATTTCTGCGGTGTTGATGACCATGTTGAAAACTTTAGTAAATTGTAAATAAAAATGGACCAGATTACACTAACAGCACACGCGCCGCCTAGTTTTGGCTAAGATGAGTTGAGATATCGACTACCCAAAAACATTTTGCGAAATTCACAATTATCTCGATGAGATTAAAAATATTTCAATATATAAGACCGACTTTCGGCTACCATTTCAAAGTTTGGTGAACTGTTCAACATTGCCGAAGCAAAGCAGTTATGATGAGGTGAGAAACTTATTTATATTTGACTATTTGCTTTTAAAAAAACTTTTTTTCACGTGCTTAATAAAATATCCTTTTCCAAAAATACTTTCATAAAGACAATTTTGTGTAAAAATGATCTAAGTTTTTCGTTTAAAATGACAGATGTAGACAAAGCTTTTAACTGTTACTGCATCCATCCTCAGTTGACCGTTGTAACCCTCGGTCGGATAGCGGACTGAGCGGGTGTTAGTACGGCCCACCGTCTTGCCGAGTTATTCGTGTACGGTTTCGTGTGTGTGTTTTTTTAGATGTTTTGCCATATTTTATTTACTTGTAGCCCTTCCTTTCCCTCGTTAAAATTGTCTTTTTGTTTACATAATTCGATGGTCTCTAGATGTAGTTTTGTACTATATTGTTTCTAAGTTGACAATTCTTGCGTGTTTTTAAATCTGATGTTGTGATCCCCGTTCGAAAACACGTGCTTCGCAACCGCCGATTTCTCTACTTGTCCCAAGCGTGTAGTGACCTACGTTTCGTTGTACCAATATAGAGGTCTCCACAGGAACATGCGATTCTGTATAGCCCGGCTGGCGTTGTATTTGTCTTTTGTGTTTGAAAATTTATTTTATATTATGTTTCGCCATTATTTTACGCCTCCGATGTAAGGAAGATCGTCCGGTGGCGTTTATCTATTTGGTTTTTTCGGTCGTATGGCCCGTTATAGTTCATTAGTGTGGTAGCTATTGATGTGGAAAAAAACGCTTAAGTAAAATATCTCCGCTTATACTGAAATAGAAATTGTTAGAAATCAATATATTAGGTACATTATTAAAATAATACATTTTCCAGTCCAATGGAAAATTTCTGTTGACAAGCCGTTAACATAAATAACAAATACTTTAGATTTTACATTATTTGATTTCTCCCAGCATTGCCTAAGATATTTGGTAGAATCCTTTATCAAAGCCTTACGACTTTCGTAAAAAAAGTTCTATTCAATTCTAATGTTATGTCAAGATGGCAAGTTGAACCTTAACTCGGATAATACAGATTGCTTCCATTTGTAAGTCTAGTAGTTAAATACGTTGTCATTATTATTACATAATTTTATTTTTGTACATATTGAATATTTAATATTGTTAACCCTAGAAGCTCGCTTGACTAAATAACATTTAGTACAGAAATGCCGAAACAATAATGGAAACATGGAAGTATTCGTATATGTCAGTCTAAAAAGTTGTTAAAATATAAAGAGTGATAACATCAAATCTTAATTTTGGAAAAATTACACAACACTGTTCGCAAAGTAGACGTAGACGTAGTTGTTTTCTGATTTTGCCTTTTCTTTTGAACTGCCAAATGGTGAAATTTTAGCTGATATTTTTCAAAAATTAAATGCTTATTTGTAGGTTTGGCGGTCCCTCGTTGTGGGCGCTCTGTATCTTTTCCATCATAAGCATAACATTCGTTCAAGGCAAGAGCAGTCTTATAAGTGACGATCTCCTCAAGGATGCGGTTTCAAAAGCCAAGGAAACTCATTTGGAAAGGATGAAATTGCAGTATCGTGTTTGGGCAGCAGGTTAACTAAAGTTTTCGATTCTATCGAGTATATTTTCCTACGGTAGTATTACAGGTGCTGGTCTTGATCCAAAATCCCATCAAGCAACAGCTGCAGCATTTGGCAAAGCAAATCAACACGCCATTCGTTTGGCAAATACGTCACTGCTTTACGAATTGGCTTCGAAAGAGATATTAAACGCACTGGGGTGAGTAATCATGAGATACTGTTAACTGGATTGGTTTAACAATCAACACTCCATGCTTAGGCACACAAGAAGGCCAGAAATTTTATCAGAACTAAAAAAATTAGACGTATCTGATCTGCTTCCCGCTACCAAATTCGCAACAGACACCAACTGTAGCGACTCAGGGCCATGCGATGAATCTTCGCCATATAGAACTCAAAGCGGGTTCTGCAATAATTTGGACCAACCTGATTTGGGCACTAGTTTGTCTAATTTTAATAGGTTATTGCCTAGTGATTACGAAGACGGTATGGCTAATCGATATAAATTTGTATTGGTTTCCTAAATAATTGTTGTTAAATGCAGGAATTTCCGAGCCAAGAATAACGGCGGTTAGTGGAGATCCACTACCAAATCCCAGATCTATTTCTACAACTGTCCACCCCGATGTTTCCCATTTGAGTACAGAATATACGATGTTGATTATGCAGTTTGCACAATTTTTGGACCACGACATTACCTTAACACCCCTAAATCAAGGATTTGCAGAATCTATTCCATCCTGTAGACCCTGTGATAGTAAGCAGACCGTACATCCTGAATGCAACCCCTTCGAAATACCTCCAGATGATGACTTTTTCCCTCAATTCAATAGTACCACCGGCGAACAAGCGTGCTTCCCTTCCATGAGAACGTTACAGGGGCAAAGTGATCTAGGCTCGAGAGAGCAAGTTAATCAAAATACTCCGTATTTGGATGGATCAGTGATATACGGAGAGAATAATTGCGTCCTCCAAATGGTTAAAGGAGAGAACGGAAGATTAAACGCGTCAGATCTCGGGGATGGATCCAAAGATTATTTGCCCAGAACTACTACTAATTCGGAATGCAGATCGGCTTCAGGATTATGTTTCTATGGCGGAGACGGCAGGGCATCGGAACAAGCAGGCTTGACAATGATGCACACGATTTTCTTGAGAGAACACAATAGAATAAATGATGCTTTGCAAGTTTTAAATCCATCCTGGAGCGCTGATAAGCGCTTTAATGAAACTAGAAGAATAGTTGTTGCCATCTTGCAACACATCACTTACAACGAATTTTTACCGAGGATTTTGGGTGACGATCAGTTAGACGATTTTGGACTTCGGCTATTATCCGACGGATTCTATGAGGATTATGATCCGACTTGCAGCCCAGACACGCTTACAGAGTTTGCGGCTGCCGCATACAGAATTGGTCATTCACTTCTGCGAGCTAGAGTTCCCATGTTAGACAACAATTTCACAAATGTGGATCCTCCACTTCTATTAAGAGATTCGTTCTTCCAAACTGACAGACTTTTCGCTGTAAGTAGTTTGTAGATAAGTTAAATTATTCTGATTAACGGTTACCCTGTTTCCAGCCCAATATCATTGACGATATAGCCCGTGGTATCAGTTCAACGCCAATGGAAGATCTAGATCGATTTGTTACGAACGAAGTTACAGACCATTTGTTTGAAAATACACAAATACCTTTCACTGGAGTAGATTTAGTTGCTTTAAATGTTCAGAGAGCAAGAGATCACGGTATTCCTCCCTACAATGACTATCGCGACTTCTGTCTTGGAGACCGTGCCGATACTTTTGATGATTTATCAGACACAACCGATGCGGATGCCATACAACAATTGCAACAAGTTTACCAGAGTGTGGACGACATCGACCTGTTCCCCGGTGGATTGACCGAAGCTCAGTTACCTGGTGGTTTGGTTGGGCCAACTTTTGGTTGCATAATTGGTATTCAGTTTGGTCGTTTACGACAATGCGATCGATTTTGGTATGTCACCGTCAATACAAATATGCTGATATGTTAATCCAAATGCAAATGTATTTTAGGTACGAAACCGCAGATCCTGTAGTAGGATTCACCGAGGAGCAACTGGCTGAGATACGAAAAATTACATTTTCCAAATTGATATGTGATAATATTGATGGTAATAATAACATACACGCCATTGCTTTTAATATACCGTCGGATTCATCAAATCCGAGAGTACCATGTGATTCACTTCCAGCACCCGATCTTTCGGCTTGGCAAGAGTAATTGTTGTAATTATGTGATTGTTGTAATTATGAGATTCATTAATAAATAGTAACACAACATTCTTTAACGTGTGTTCGTAAACTCCTTCGTAATAATATGAAATATTGCAAGCTCCCAAATAAATTTACGATATAAGTGTTTGGTGGGTTTTAACGTAGGTACACGTTATTTGCTGCGCTGATTCTTGTTCGATTGATTGGACTGTATTTTTCGAATAACTTTATTTTTTAACTTTTACAACTTAACAAACTTTTACAACTAACAAACAAAGGAAAAAACATATGAAAATGAATAACGAAGCTTAACGTTTGCTAGTTTGCGTCTCGCGGTCTCTCTTAAGTGTCGGCAGCGCCGATCCCTTTTTTGCAGGCAACCTTTTTTTTACGGTGCTCGCGATGTTGCCGTTGCTGGGCAGTTTTGAAGATTGACCAGTGTTTATTTTGCAAAATCCATTTCAAAATATCTTTTTCGGAACATTTCGACATTTTCGATTTTGTGTGCGTTGCTACTTTGATTCTGTTACATGGGGTATCAAATCAATCAGTTTCTTATACCAATTACAACATGCCGTATTCTCTACAATGTGTGCTAAAAGTTTTTGTTTGTTGATGGTGGGCCTCATATGCCTTTCTGCAGAGCCTCAAAATAGCGTTGTGTTTCACACGGGCAAAAATTGCAGTTGTGGGAAAAAAATAAAAGTCAGTGGGGTTCTCGAGTAAATAAAGAAGTTAATTTCGTTAAACTCAAGTTCTCAATGTACCTATGCTCTTACAGTTTTGTACACATACACTACTGCTACTCGAAAAATGCGGGATAGTTTTGAAAATGTATCATGGGCTAATTTTGCGACTGCAATACAAACAATTAAACTCAAAACAATTAGTCTTGAACTGTAAGAACATTTGTTTTCGAATCCTTTCGTTTTTATCACCCAACGCACCAACTAAATATCAAGACTTAGTGGGTAGTTTAAGAATGTTAGAATCGATATTTTTTAATGTATGTTTGACTTCTCCCAAACACGCATTGACTGTGAACCCGAATCGATTAAAGCTAGAACATTGGTGTTTACTGCTCCCATATAAGATTCGATCCTCGGTATCTTTAAACCGTGTTCATTAAGTAAAAGTAAGAAAGTGGTTTGATTGCACACTCCTCAGCCACCCGATACATTTGTGTTCTATGTTCTCGGAACGTGACTGTTTTACGTTGCGGTAGACCCATTGCCAGAAATTTAGTGCCAGTTACTACAATAATCGGCTAGATCCATTTTCGTATTGCAAAAATTTTAATTTTTGAAATAGTTCACCCCTCAGCAACGTTCTAAGAACATGTCTTTAAAAACAACTAATTAAATAAAATCACTTTCTTATTAGTAGCGGGTTTGATGTATGAAGAAACATATCTAGTAATCGAGTAGTTTTACAGAGAAATTCTTTTCCAAAACTTGACAAACGGCAGTGCAGAAAAATATTCGTCCAATAAATCGCACCATTGCTTGTGTCGTTGCTTTTATCCTGGGATTGAAGACATGGAGCGGATAATTCCCAGAATATTTTCTTAGTTCAATAGTTGTTTACTATTGGACTTGGACGACACGAGATAAAGAATATTCTGCGACTGACAAGATATTACAACGTTGTCACTACCTATAATCTTTTCGCGCATAATTACAACGCAAAAGTAGGTTTTCCATAACATTGTAGATTATTACGACTTTTAATCACCCTTCGCTATTCAGTACCACCGATCATATGGCTCTTTCCCGTAATACGCACGAACCATTAGAAAAAGAAAATACTGCTCGCTCACGAAAAAAAACTTCTATCCGACTAAGGACTGTAAGACGCATATTTCTTTTAAGTTAAAGTCTGTTCATAGATAGATATAAGAAAGTGACTAACTGATACGAATTAAGGAAAGACCCGGGCAAGCTGTAAGAATGAAATATGGCCGAACAGGTCCGTACTTTGCTTAGAATTTAATTATTTGTGGTTTTGTTAGGAAAGATATTTATGTTTAAATCTAATAGAAAATTACAAATTATTTTTATTACCTACTTAAATTACTTAAAATTATTCACATAATATATCCGTATCGCTATCGCTATCATCGCCTGTTCTAATTATTATTTGTTCTATATTATTTGCAATATGGATATACGATTGTTCTGCTTTTTCTATATGTTTAGCAGAATTTGCCTAACTTTGTGGAGGGATGTTAAAAACTTCGGTTTCTATAAGTTTGAGGACATTGGAGTTGACACGGGGAAAAACATTGTTAAGACAAATGGCAGATTTCAGTTGATGCCAAACATGTTCAATGGGATTAAATATACAGTGGCAAGGTGGAAGTCTTAAAACTGTATGCCCTAGATTTTTTGCATAATTATTACAGACGTATTCTTTTTGTAGTTTCTAGCTTTGTAGAACCTCAATTAACTGCTTTTTAGTATAATCTTCGTGAAAATAAATGTCGTTATTATACATTTAGTTTTGGATTGTTGCTTTTGTGTCACAGGGGGAAGGGGTTTTAGTCAACTGTCTACTGTGATAACTTGCATTGTCCATTACAGTGACGCTATTAGGGGGAATGTTTGGAACTAGCTTGTTTTAAGTAAGTTTAGCCACGTAAATAATTGGCCTTTGTTGTTCTCTGTAAATCCTAATTTTTTCTACATACTTCAGACGCCATTTCCGAATTCTAAAAGATTCCATGCCTTTTGTAAATTTTTTAAAATGTAAAAAGCATGTGTTGATGAATACACTTCCATAAGGTAGTTCTGCCACATTTAACACCGGTTTCATTTTTTTCAAGCCTCCTAATTAAGATATCTAATGTAGGCACGCTTTGTTCCTCGTATAACTGGTAAATTTTACGCCGTATTATATCTTGATCACTTTCATCTACACTCGTTTCTTTTTTTCCTCGCTAAAATGGGATTATTCACAATTTTCCATACATTTGATGTTGGAATTTCGGTCAATGTCGCCATTTATTCTAAACATGCTTGCTTGCTGGCACCACATTCAATAAGAGTCAAATAAACATTGTTTATAACTTACTTAGTCTCAATAGAATAGTGTTTTCTACATTTGGGCGGGAGCATCTCCTGAGATATACTAGACTCGCACATATTTTGCATAATTCGCACACGATTATTTACGCTGTATCGCACACGAAATAAAAATGATTACTAATAGATTTAACTAAGTAGTATACCAAACCGAAGAATATTGAAGACAGGTAGGTATTAAATTATTTTCTATTACGGACCACAATTTTACCTGAACATAAATTCCGAAACTTTAGGTAATAATCTTGTTGCATTGTATGTTAATGACCACCCTTGGATAATCCCATTCAAAAGCAATTGGTCACTTTCTTATATCTATGAACAGACTATACCCTATAAAATTTTTGTATGAACAAGGAAATAAGCCTGATAGTCAGATGTTTTCTTAAAACCTCAGTTCTCGCCCTTCGCTCTGTCAAAATATCCGTTAGTAGAATATAGTAGATATATATTAGTATAATAAATATAGTTTTGGGATGCAGTACCATTTTAAGAAATATCTTGCAGGCATTTCTCGGTTAACCCTGCATTCAAGTGTTGCTGGTTATTGTTTGAATTACGTTAAATTGCGAAGACTTTTAACGGTCAGTGTTCTCGCGAGTACAGTACTTGAATTTCATAATGCTTTAGTCTTATTGTTCAGAATATCAAAGTACCAAATGATTAATTGATCGATTTTATTTTTAATTTATAAAATATACCCAAGGAATTTGATTAAATATTAGTGTGTCCTCTCTTTGAATAAAATTATTTTAAACATTGTTGCCTTGTTGGTTGAAAGTTGGTTGGGATCTCTGTCCAGTATATTATGGCCTTACTTGGTATGGTACGTGGTGTGTTCTACCCTTCAGTATATTAACATATGTTGTTTATTGCACTGTCGCGTATTGCTGCCCTTCAGGGTTGGTGCGGAGACTTCCTCTGTCTCCTTAGTATATATTGCATGATCGGAATAATCAGCACTTGTAATTGAAATAGGTACTATGTGTGTTCTGCCCTTAGTACCAATAGACTGATGTGGCTCTGTCCTTCAGTATATTATGACTTGTTACTTATTGCACTGTCACGTGTTCCTACCCTTCAGGGCCGTTGTGATTATTCGCGACAGGATACTTCGCGTGTGTCCGCCCTTAGTATCCATTGCGTGATCGGAATAATTAGCACTAGTGATTAAAATAGGTACTATGTGTGTTTTGCCCTTAGTATCAATATACTGATGTCGCTCCGCCCTTCAGGATATTATGACGTGTTGGTTGTACTGTCGCGTGTTGTTGTCTTTCAGCGAAGAATCACTAGGGATTGAAATAGGTGGAATGTGTGTTCTGCCCTTAGTACCAATATACTGATATGGCTCTGTCCTTCAGTATATTATGACCTGTTACTTGTTGCACTGTTACGTGTTGCTGCCCTTCAGAAATGGTGTGATTATTCGCGACAGGATATTCGTGTGTCTCTTCCCTTAGTATCTACTGCGTGATTTGAATAATCAGCACTAGTGATTGAAATAGGTACTATGTATGTTCTGCCCTTAGTATCAATATACTGACGTGGCTCTGCTCTTCAGTATATTATGACCTATTTTATTTGTTATGTTTATGTTTATGTTTATTGCACGGTCGGGTGTTGGTGTCCTCAGCGAAGTATCCATTGTACGATGGGAATAATTAGCACTAGTGATTGAAATAGGTACTATATTTGTTCTGCCCTTAGTATCAACATTAATGTTAATTATATATTAAGTTTATTTAGTTATTTTTAATAATCTTTTGGTACTCAGGTTTTTTTTTTTCTTAGTTTCAGATGCAAACCGTGTCATCTCGCTGACGAACTGATCAATTTTCGTTTTGACGAAAATAGTTACCCTCTCTTGCAGGACTTGTAAGGTAAGAAAAATAAAACACGGAAGATTTTCACAAATGCAATTTATCGAATCTAAACTCCAACTTTTTGTTCCTTGAAGCTGTATAGGGTTACGAGGAATGCATATACCTAACTCAATCAACAACTATTTGTGTTAAAACCATAAGTTGGTCCATTCTATTGTTCGGCCTGCGTACTCGATATTATAACGCAAACATGGAATACAGCACGCACACACAATTATTCTAAATATTACAATTGTCTGTTTACTCCGACTCCGTCTTAATTAAGTACACTGTTCATTGCGTCAATCGATACTTGACAAAGACTGGCTTGTTGCGCGCCATATGGTGTGTTCCACACGGATAAAAGTTGCAGGTGTGACAGCAAAATAAGAATCGGTGAATTCTCGAGCAAATCAGCACGTTTTTTCCATTAATCTCAAATTCGTAGTGTACTTATGTACTTACACTTCTAGACACATACGTTACTTAATAATATTTGAAGTCGAAAAATGCGGGAGAGTGTGTACATTGTTTCGGTAACAATATTCTAATATTATATAGGGTGATTCATACTGGATTGGACATGTATGGTTAACGAGGCGTAGAACCCTTCTTGGTCGTTTACATAAGCGAGGACGATTTATCGATCGACATTCTTTTGCCAAGCACGTGTACAAAAAATTCGTTTTTATCGATATTGCACGGCATGGATCCATGGACCGTCGAAATAATAAACGATAAATCGACTAAAGCGTTTGAAATATGAGAGGAAAGTCAGAAAGACAAAAACAGAAGGCAAAAGTGGCACAGGAAGTAAAATTGCAAAAACCACTGAAGACCTTGTAAACACTGCAACAGACGGTGTAGCGTAGACAGATGCGACCGTCAATATCCAATAGTAGTTGACGAGCTCTCAGAATCATCATCTCAAAAGTAACACATTAACTAACTCGCAACTAAAGTACCAGACATGGATCGGGGCTGTAGATAAAGAAAGGGATGTCTAAAACTTGGGATGTCTACATATTTAATTCTTGTGCTACTTTTTAGTAACAATATACTAACAAGAATCTCTTACCTAGTTGTGTAAGTCATAACAAGACACGTAGCACTAACCATGGTGTTTTATACCTCTCGTATTTTCAGAAAGAGAGTACTAACGTGACGTACACGTTGAACGATACGAATAAGTTTGGTGGATTGTAAATAAAAGAGGAGCAAGTTTCCAAACTTCCAAACGCGTACGCGCCATTTTTTTTTGGAGAATTGAGATGAGTTGAGATATCACTTTCGTAAAACACTCTCATGGTTCAATTATCTCGATGAGATAAGAAATTTGGAATATATAAGGACTATTTTCGGATACCATTTCTAAGCTTAGTTAACTGTCCACATTCGTGATACATTTGCGAAACTAAAGCAATTATGAAGAGGTAAGAAATTATTATTTAAATGTTTACTTGACAAGCTATTCCATATGATTGAGAGAAAACTCATTAATATTTAACAAATTTTACTCCTGGCTAGCTTTCTAATACCTGCTCGTAACTTCTTCAAAAATAAATAAATGACCACAAGTAACCAATGTACCAGAATATCCAGAGTATCTAAGAGCCTGAAATTATTTTCGCAATAAAATGTTTGAATGAAATATGTTTTGGATGAATTTAAGTTATTTGCCCTATGGATTGGTTAAATCCAAATACTCTCAATTGGGAAAGTAAGTGAAAATAGTAATTTATGCTCATTCTCCTGCGTATCACCTCAACTAGGATAATTTGGTACCAGAAGTCGTTGTTAATTACCAACAATTCTTATAAAATTAATATTTAATGCGTTGTATTAATATTGAAAATAATTTATAGAGAGGCTTATAAACCAACAAACGGAAATCTAAATATACACAGATCCCAAAATATATCAAAATAAATCTAAACAAACAGATTTGTTCAATAATTGATAGCACGTTAGTTGAATATTAGACAAAAGAGGATGTTAAAATATTACTGTATTTAAAATGCATAAAGATGTCGTATTTAATCCATCGCTTCGGAAGGTTTGGGTGTTCATTCATAAAAAAATTAATGTTGAAAATATGTTATAAATCGATCAAATGAAAGAAAATAATATTTGTTTTATATTAAGCAGCTGCTTAGTGTGGGTACTCTGTATCCTTTCCATTATAAACGTGACAGCCGGTCAAGACAAGAGCAGACTTATTAGTGAAGATCTTCTGAGGGACGCAATATCAAAGGCCAAAGAAACACATTTGGAAAGAACGAAAATGCAGTATCGTGTTTGGGCAGCAGGTTAGCTAAAATTTTTGATCCGTCTGAGCATATTTTCCAGCTTTAGTGTTACAGGCGGTGGTCTTGATCCAAAATCGCACCAGGCAACAGCTGCAGCGTTTGGCAAAGCAAATCAACATGCAATTCGTTTGGCAAATACGTCGCTACTATACGAGTTAGCATCGAAGGAGATTCTAAACGCCCTGGGGTAAGTAAAGGGAAAGATATTACCTATTAAATTGGTTTAACCATCAACAATCCGTGCTTAGGCATACAAGGAGGCCAGAAATTGAAATTGAACTAAAAAATATAGACGTATCTGATCTGCTTCCCGCTACCAAATTCGCAACAGATACGAATTGTAGCGACTCGGGACCATGCGATGAATCTTCGCCATATAGAACTCAGAGCGGATACTGCAACAATTTGAATCAACCTGATTTGGGAACTAGTTTGTCTAATTTTGACCGGTTATTGCCGAGTGATTACGAAGACGGTAGTACTTATGGATATAAATTTTTATTGCTTAATTGAATGATTATTGTTTCACACAGGTATTTCCGAGCCAAGGATAACGGCAGTTAGTGGAGATCCACTACCAAATCCCCGATCTATTTCTACAACTGTCCATCCCGATGTTTCGCATTTGAGTAATAATTATACGATGCTGATTATGCAGTTTGCCCAATTTCTGGACCACGATATCACCTTAACACCCCTGAATCAAGGATTTGCGGAATCTATTCCATCCTGTAGACCCTGCGACAGCAAGCAAACCGTACACCCCGAATGCAACCCTTTCGAAATACCTCCAGATGACGACTTTTTCCCTCAATTCAATAGTACCACCGGCGAACAAGCGTGCTTCCCTTCCATGAGAACGTTACCGGGTCAAACTCTGCTTGGTTCCAGAGAACAAGTGAATCAAAATACTCCGTATTTGGATGGATCAGTGATATATGGTGAAAATAACTGCGTACTTCAAATGGTTAAAGGGCAGAATGGAAGATTAAACTCATCAGACCTCGGAGATGGATCCAAAGATTATTTACCAAGAACTACTACTAATTCGGAATGCAAATCGGCTTCAGGATTATGTTTCTATGGGGGAGACGGTAGGGCTTCCGAACAAGCAGGTTTGACGATGATGCACACGATTTTTTTGAGGGAACACAATAGAATAAATGATGCATTACAAGTTTTAAATCCATCCTGGAGCGCTGATAAGCGATTCAATGAAACCAGAAGGATAGTTGTTGCCATCTTACAACACATCACATACAACGAATTTTTACCGAGGATTTTGGGTGAAGATTCATTGGACATTTTTGGACTCAGACTATTATCCGACGGATTCTATGAGGAATACAACCCATTTTGCAGTCCAGACACGCTTACAGAATTTGCGGCTGCCGCATATAGAATTGGGCACTCGCTTCTGCGAGCTCGAGTTCCGATGTTGGACAACAATTTCGCAAATGTTGATCCTCCGCTTCTGTTAAGAGATTCGTTCTTTCAAACCGATCGGCTTTTTGCAGTAAGTAACTTTTTAAAGTAAAATTATTTGTGTTAAATTTAAATTGCCTCCAGCCAAACATCATCGACGACATAGCCCGTGGCATTAGTTCGACGCCCATGGAAGATTTAGATCGATTTGTTACGAACGAAGTTACAGACCACCTGTTTGAAAATACAAGAATACCCTTTACCGGAGTGGATTTAGTTGCTTTAAATATTCAGAGAGCAAGGGATCACGGTATTCCACCCTACAACGACTATCGCGAAATTTGTCTTTTCGAGCGTGCTGGATCGTTCGATGATTTATCAGACACAACTGACGCGGATGCTATACAACAATTGCAACAAGCTTACCAGAGTGTGGACGACATCGACCTGTTCCCCGGTGGATTGACCGAAGCTCAGTTACCTGGTGGTCTGGTTGGGCCAACTTTTGGTTGTATTATTGGTATTCAGTTTGGTCGCCTAAGACAATGCGATCGATTTTGGTATGTTTTCCTCAACAGAAATGTAGTAATCGATAAATGCAAATACAAATTCATTTTAGGTACGAAACCGCAGATCCTGTGGTAGGGTTTACAGAGCAACAACTCGCTGAAATCAGAAAAATCTCATTTTCGAAACTGATATGTGACAATATTGACGGAAATAATAATATACACGCCATAGCTTTTAATATTCCGTCAAATTCGACAAATCCAAGGGTGCCATGTGATTCTCTTCCAGCTCTGGATCTTTCCGCTTGGCAGGAATAGTTTATTTAGCAATTAATTTTTTATATTAGTTATTTTGTATTGAAATTTATAAATAAATAACCGCATAACAACAAATTTGTTATCATCTTTCGCTACTGCTGATTTTTATAGAACTATTGGCAAAAATACTTTTGGGTACTCTTGGACTTCAGCAAGGCGTTCCATAAGCTAGATCATAGTGTACTTCTTAAAAAGCTTGAGTATTTTCGGCTGAGCCATTCGGCTGTGAATTTTTTTAAAACTTGTTTCGACAGCCGATGCCAGAGAGTAGTGCTGGGTATATTTAGTTTTATTGCTACTAAGAAAGGAGTACCACACGAAAATGTGTTGGGACCGTTATTATTTTCAATATATACAACAGACTTTTTGGTTCAAGTCAAATATTGCATTTTATAAAAATAACGTAGACTAAACTACTTCTTTATAGAGAGAGCGTCCGTTACCATTATACTTTTAATATAATTTTAAATAATCTTAGGTTAGTACCTGTAGACTTCTTGGTAACTATGGAATTATGGTGAATGTTAATATGAAGACCATGTCGCAACATAATAAAAGAAGTCATTTCTTAAAATGAAAATGCATGTTTAGGAACATTCTCACGACGAACATTCGACTAAAACTGTGCGATAGTTTAATACTATCGAATTTGACATATGGAGAGATTGTTTATTGGCCGTGTCTTACTTTAGAAAATAAAGGATGTCTGCAAAAAATTCAGATTTCTTGTTTACGTTATTGCTATAATATGATTATCATAAAAAATATAATAAGTCGTTTATAAATAAGTTCAAAGATGTATTGTCAATGAGAGAATAAGTACCTTCATTAACTGTTTAAATAATCAAGTTTCTTTTTTTTTTTATTTATATATGATTCTTAAATTAAAATTCTTACAATGTTTTCTTAAGGGTGGTTAGATGAGCAGCTAAGTGTCTTATTTATTATATAACATATCCCCAGAGTACCAATAATTTTGAATTAGATTCAATTGAATCAGATGATATAAATTTGTTTTTTAAGTCGATTTTTACAAAAGCTACTTAAGTACTACTATTACATATTAGTTCATTAATCGGGTTCATACAGGTTCATACGGTCTTCTAGCAAAAACTGATTTGAAATCGTAGGAAAAGACTAAAGGCAGGCAGTTTCCCTTTACCAATAAATGCTTGAAAATGAGCTTACACTTTCTCACTCAGTATGCAATGTAGAAATTCTACATTTTCAATTGCTTTCGAGAATAAATTGTGACGGAAAGTTTGCAAGTTAATTTTTGAGATATTTTACTTACTTAATTTGATTAAGACTATTGCCGGTGGCAATTATTTTCAGTCAGCTTAGCGGACGTACAATGTTTACTGCGTTTATTTCTTTTATTATTTCCCGTTTTATAAGTTACCCATGATTTATTAGACATAGTGTACGTTGTAGGCACTGCAGAAAGAAATACTCTTTTAGTCTCCACTTTAATTGAAAATTCACAAAATAGTATGAGGCAATTTGTTAAACACTAGAATAAAGAAACAATCCCATGAATGCCTGCAAATGTACGGTTTCACTCATCCCATATTTAATTATTGCAATTTTTTGAATGAAAAATTACTACCGAATCACATCTACAGCTTCTGTAGTTAGGCCTGAATTCGTTTTTGGAAAGGTTGGCTGATTTTGCTGCGACAATATGTGGTATCAACATGATGGAGCAAAACTATGCCCAGCAGTTTTTAAATGAACAATTTCATAATCTCTGTATAGGTAGAGGTGGTCCAGTACGTAACCAACAATATCCCTCGACTTGACAAAAGCAGATTTTTTCTCGTGGGACTATGTAAATCAGAAAGTATATCAAGTTGCTCCTACAACAGACAGCAACGTTTTCAAAGCATTACTACAGATATGTCAGAAAGCGTATCATTTCAAAGAAGAACACGTGGATGTGAAGTGAACTAAATTGAATTGAAAATGTTGCACGACTGTAAAGCTGATTCTTCGACACATCAGATGTACAACTAATATTATTTTTTGCTTGTAGATCCTTTTCAATCTGGTAACTTTGGTTAAAAAATTCTTTCGCTATCTCCTACCGTGTATGGACTTTGTTGGCTCATCTATATTAATGAGGTACTCCCGCTGTTTAATGGCTTTATATTATGATATAATGCTTACTGGAGTCATTTATATTTTGCTAAATGATGACCAAATTGATAAACTAAAAAATTTTTGATTGTTCAATTTTTTTCCAAAGTTTAGAAAAGAGCATTCTCAAGTGTTCTTAACGTAGTTACTATAAATCCAACTTACATTATGACAATGATTGAATGCTAAGAACGCGTAGAAGACAAAGATTTGAGTATTATATTAAATGTTCTTATTGGAAATTACTTTTTCTACAATCCTTAACAGAAATATAATACTAACTCTAATTTCATGACACTTAAGGAAAACTAAGGAAATTAGCCTATAATTGGATGAATAGTCTAGAATGCAATATTCTTTCTCACTGGATATTGAACGCACCCCTTTACCGCAAGTTCAAATTATTATTATTTTTTTAAATGATGATTAATTATGTTCTATAGTCACCTTATAATGAATATTAATTATAAATACAGTTTTATGTTTGTATGTTATATCCCGAACCGAATCGTCTAAAACCGCTATTAGAATTTTTAATTACAGATCACACTGTTGTACCCAATCGGAGGAGTGTACATTTTTGCAAAACAACATGAATACATTTATTGACATGACAGTCAGAATTGACAAACGTCAAAATTTAAGCCGTACGGTAAAATCTTCGAAAAAATGACGACCCTTTCAAGGATGCGATTTTAAAAGGGGAACAAACTCATTTGGAAGGATGAAAATGCATTATCGTGTTTGAACAGCAGGTGGGCTAAATTTTCTGACCGTTGCTAACCTATTTTGTGGATGGTTGTATTACAAGTGGTGGTCCGAAAAAACAAATAAACACGCAATTGGTTGCATCAACAGGTTACTCCTTTACGAATTGGTTTCGAAGGAGGAGTAAGAAAAAGTAGGTAAACAAGAGAGTTGGGATGAACTGAATCATTTTCACAGTCAACATTTCATGCTTAGGCACACAAGAAGACAAGAAATTTTATCTGAACTAAAACATATAAAACCATCCGATCTGCTTTCCTCACCGGATACTGTAACAATTTGGTCCAACCGGACTTGGGAACTTGTTTGTCTAATTTACTTTAATGCAGACCTGTCTTTGAAAACTTAACAGAGGTAAAGTACACTTAGCTCCAGGAAACAATTCAATCAATACACTCCCTATTTGGATGGTTCAGTGATATACGGTGAGAATAACTGCGTACTTCAAATGGTTAAAGGGCAGAATGGAATATTAAACTCATCAGACCTCGGAGACGGTTCCTAAGATTATTTGCTCATAACTACTACTAATGTTGGAAGGGCTTCGACTTTTCGCTGTAAGTAGTTTGATGAAGTTAAATTATTCGTATTAATATTGCATTGCTTTCAGCCGAATATAATTGATGATATAAGCGGGGGTATCAGTTCGACGCCAATGGAATATCTAGATCGATTTGTATCGAACGACGTTACAAATCAGTTGTTGGAAAATACAAGAGGAAACTTTATTGGTGCGGATTTAGTTGTTTTAAATATTCAGAGGGCAAGGGATCACGGTATTCCTCCCTCCAACGAAAAAACAAACAAGAAACAATGAAAATCAGTTACCTCGTAGTCCGGTTGGGCCCACTTTTGGTTGAATTATTGGTCATTGTATATGTAATTTAGGTACCAAACCGAAGATCATAAGGTAGGATTTTCGAAGCAACAACTCAACTCAACTCAACTCAAATACAAGAGTGAAATGAATTCGTTTCCAGCACCATTGCAACAGAAATACAGCATTGGTTATACATTTTCCAAAGATAGTATAAGCATAATTTAACTTTGCACAATATCCCTCGGATTATTACAAACAATAAAGACCAAAACAGATTACAATACTATACTAAGGTAAGGAATTAAATTGCGCGCTTAAAATTTGCTCTCGTTTTATTTACTCTTTTTGGCTGTTCTAGTGGTTCATTCAGAATAAATCTTGTTTCTGGAGCACGTTTTTGCTGGAAATGCTTAAGTGAAATTAAGCAACTTTAAAGTTTGTCGCTAGTAGCTCGGAGTTGTGCATTGACTCCGCAGCGAAAACATCAGAGAAAAACATCTCAGAAAAAAGGCAGGAGAAAAAAATGGGGGAGAAGCAAGAGCAGGCATCTGCTTTCGAACTAAGCGACATCTAATGATACAGTGAAAATGATACCTACAGTTTGTACAAAAAATAATAGACTAATCAGTGAAAATTCTTTCTATTTATATTATAGTTGTACACGATGGACTCGGAAAAAATATTTAAGCAAATATCTATCTAATAATATTTCAGGAAGCACATAATTACATACAATATTCGATCGACACAAATGTATAACTCATTATCGCCGAAATTGACGTAATTATTAAATTTGGACCCATGGAAAAAACTGCACTGAATGCAATATTTTTCTCCCGAGCTCGTCGGGAGAATAACAACGATTGTAATTTCCGATAGACGTAAAGCAGACGGTGGTTGCGTACTTTTTCTATGATCTGTAGTTTTTAGGTCTGGCTCGCAGCCATGATACCACAAATAAAGATATGATAGATCGCCCTTTTAAATTCGTCCGCCGCGCGCATGACGTCACGCGTCAAGAGCAATATACCATGATAGATATCAAACATGCAACATGATTACGATTGGGGCAGATATCAAACGACTTTAATGACATTTGGATTGATGATAAGGAATTTTCCACATTTCATTATCCAAACCTCGCTAGGGGAGGATCAGTAATCTCATAACTAAGCAATAACAAAATATTCACAAATTTACAAAACATTAAGGAGGAAAAATAATTTTTCATAATTCAAAAATAGGTTTTTAGTAAATACATAATATAAAAATTATATAATATAACTTATGTAATCCTTGAAAAACATTTTTATCTCAAACTTAAAAATGGA